GTCAAGCCTGATTTCTTACTAATTATCCAGTAGTACTACCAGCAGGAATCATAACATTAGGAAAATATGGAATCAGTCTAGAGATGGCAAAAATGCTGCAAAATATTTTTAAATACTAAGACTGGTTGCATGGGAGGCAGATCTTTTGTTTCTTTACTTTTTTCTTTCTTCATCACTGTTCCCCTTGAACTTGTTTGTCTAAGTCTTCTGTTATTCAATCTTTCCTCTTTTCTACCCTTTAGAAATTGACCTTGCCTTTGACCCTGCCCCAGCCATCCAGCTAAACCTTTATCCTTTACATTTCCTGAAATTTTAACCTCTGTTTCTGTTTCTCTCTCCACAATTACTGCCTTACCTAAGTATTTCCAGCATCTGTTTTCATTTTAGATTGATGCAATACTTGTGTTTCAGTGGTTATTGCTGACAATTTGTCTAAAAGCGTCAGAATCTCATTATGCACTTGCTCGTTATTCATTTCTCTGTTTGTTTCCATTTTTTCATTCAATTTTTCCAGTCCCAAGAGCTTAGTTTTTGCTTCCTTGTCATCTTGCCCCAGTAAGGACTCATTCCATGACTCTGCGTTTGCTGATCATCAAGACCTGACATAAGGCCCAAATAAAAACTGAAAGAACTGCACATGCTGTAAATCTGGAACAAAAACAGAAGTTGCTGGAAAAGCTCAGCAGATCTGGCAGCATCTGTGAAGAAAATATCAGAGTTAACGTTTCGGGTCCGGTGACCCTTCCTCAGGGCAACAGGACACCTATGAGGTCACCTATCTCTGGACTAATAGCAGAAGCAGTGATGCAGAGACTTGGAAGCCCTTCCACAAATCTAACCCAAACTATGGATCCAATACGTGGACGACACTTCCGTCATCATCAAACGGTCTAAACTAGAAGAAACACACCAACTTATAAACAACATTTTCACCTACATCAAATTCACCAAAGAAGCAAAGAACAAACAGCTCCCATTCCTGGACGTGATCATAGAATGCAGGGCCAACGAGGAATTTCTGACCAAAGTACACAGAAAGGCCACGCACGCGGATCACGTCCTAAATTTCAAAAATAACCACCCCTCACCCAGAAACGGAGTTGCATAAATACACTGTTCAAAAGAGCCACAACACACTGCAGCAACCCTGAACTACGCCAAAATGAAGAAGAATACCTCCGCCAAGTATTTAGAGACCACGGATCCCCAAACAGCTGGATCCGACAATGCATGTCACACAAACAACAACAGGAAGATACAGCATGCCCCGACACACTTGTCAACGTTGCTGTATCTGAACTGACCACAAGACTCCTATAGCCATTGAGCATCAGAGTAGCACACAATCCTACATCAACCCTGTGCTAACTGCTAACAAGAACCAAAGATCCCTTACCCACTATAGACAGAACCAATGTAAGATTCCATGCAAGCACTGTGACAAACATTACGTTGGACAGAAAGGAAGGAAACTGGCTGCCAGAATACATGAACACCAACCAGCAACAAAAAGACACAACCAATACTCACTTGTCTCCATACACACCGTCAAGGAGAATCACCAGTTCAATTGAGACAATGTCAGGATCCTAGGACAGGCCGAACAGAGACAAGCACAGGATTTTCTAGAGACCTGGTTCTCCACCAAGAAGGCCATTGGTAAAAACGTAGAATTAGACCCTGTATACACACCACTGCAAAGAAAAACTGGAAGTGAAGTAATCAACTCCAATGGACCCCAGAATTTGAATAACAAGCAGAAAAACACAACAACGCTTCATTGGAGGCTGCACTAATGATGTTACCCAGCAGGGTAATGAAATGCCTGCAAATAAATGAACCAGCTCAATGAGCAAACCAATCACAGCATCCGCAACCCGAGCTACAAATCTACTCAAGAACCTTTAAGGAATGTATAATGGAACAAGTAAAGAAATAAAAGTTAAACTGAATACTGGGATTTGTCAGAGCTGCATCTTTTACAGGCAGTTTTGGCATTGACTGCACATGAAGCTGAAACATTATAGATAAGGATAAGAGGACACCAAGAAGTGGTAGTTTTTAGGATACATGGGTAATGTTGACATTTTTGCTGGAATCTTGACACAAGCTGTCATGATGACTGAAAAGCTAATGGAAAGAAGTGAGGTTTTAACATCAATTTTCCAGACATAATGTAGTTTATGTATCTTCCCTTATCTTATGATTTTTTTGCTTGAGCCATGTTAAAAGCTCCAAATTGAAGGAAACAACTGCTCCATAATTGTTAATATGTTCTTCCAATTCAAAATGATTGCCAAACCTCAAATTATTGCAAAACTTCGATGGCTGGCGCCCTTTTGCAGCTAATTAAATCTGCAAAATCAGGCTTACTACTTTCTAGGGAATTGTCCCATCAGTCATTGTTACTCCTTCGATTAAGGGATTGAAGTTGGATAATGTCTTTGTAGCTAGTTACTGATCGCAGTTACAGACTGCAATCAGCTCACCAAGAATGGGGCAAAAGCATCAATGGTGCATGTGAGATTTACCTCCAGATAAGCAAACAGGATTTGGTTGAACCTACCCTGATGACCTGATCATTGGGGCTCAGGTGTAAAAGTAGAGTACTGCAAAAGTATGGTCCTTCATCCTGGTTCCCCAGAGGTTAACTGAAATTTATCTAATTATTTGGATTTAAACATCATCTCCAATTTAATTCTTATTGCTTCCCATTTGAAAATTATTTCCATCGGCTCAAGGGAGCTGATTTTCTGTAAATTTGTCTGAAAGATTTATTGTAATGGTAGTATTTCAAAAAGAAGCTTGGGCTGAAGTTGTTTGTGGTATGTTTTCATTTGTACTGATGGTAAACTTACTCTGTTTTGGAAAACCACAGATACTCCTGGGAGAAACCTTTCTTGGATACTGAAATGATTAGTTTAATAACAAACTCATAACTTAGGGACAATACATTCAAAGTCTGTGATACTCAGCTGCTTGTGATCTAATCTTAGTTAAATATTAATTTAAAATATTTTTGCTTGAATATTTACCTGTCTAGGGTAGGAGCATAAATGATAATTTCCAACCTTGAATAATAACAACTTGATGTAAAAATTCTAATGTTAGTGAGATCCTTTTTATTATTTAATTTTAAATTATATTTCAAGTATCTGTTCTGCTGAATAACAAGAAGGTCAAATTGATCAAAAGTCTTGCCAGATGGAATATAATGTGGGAAAATGTGAGGTTATAAATTTTGGCAGGAAGAATAGAGGAGCTGAATATTATTCAAATGGAAAAAGATTATAAAAATTTGCAGCACTGGGGATTTGGGATCATCGTGTACGAAACACAAAAGGCTAACATCCAAATTCATGAGATAATAAGGAAGGCAAATGGTCTTTATTTCAAAGAGAATGGACCATAAAAATAGGAAAGTCTTGCTAAAACTATACAAGGCAGTAGTCATACCATACCTGAAATATTATTGGGAAGGATAAAATTGCCCTGACATTTATTTTTATCAGCTCAAGGTAGCTGATTTTTCTGTAAAATTGTCTGCAATATTAGTTATAATCATGTCAAGATTCTGAAAAGAAGCTTAGGCTGTGGTTGTTTGTGGTATGTTTCTTTTGTACTCATAGTAAACCTATTTTATTTTGGAAAATGTCATAAATTTCTGTAATCAACAGGGAACCTTGTTGGTATGAATACGGAATATTCCATTGCTGCTGTGAGGGAACTTTTTAAAGGAGCAATAGTGTCTCTCAGATTTCATCATGTCTTCCACTGAGCGCCATGACCGAGACCAAGACAATAGCAAGAAGGAGCTGCTATAATCCATGTTTATAGGGCATATAAAAACATTTAGCACTGCTTTTTGCGGCCCTCCACCGCTTTCTCCATAATAGAACCATTGGGAATTGCAGAAACTGAACTAGACTAGCCATATAAATACAACGGCTATAAGAGCAGATCAGAGGCTAAGAATCCTGCAATGCATTACTCATCTCCTGACTCCCCAGAGCCTATCCACTATTTACAAGTCACAAGTCTGGAATGTGAAGTTATGCTTCCCACTTCCCTTGATGAATGCAGTCCAGCAACAGTCCAGAAGCTTGGCACCATCCAGGACACACCATCCTGCTTGATTAGCACCACATCCATAAAAATTCATTGTCTCCACCACACTCATTAGGAACAATATATATCATCTACAAGATGTACTGCAGAAATTTACCAAAGCTCCTTAGAGAGCACTTTCTCACTCACTATCGTCTAGAAGAACAAAAGCTGCACATTCATGGGACCACCATCACCTGCATGTTCTCCTCCAAGCCACTCACCTTCCTGACTTGGAAATATATTGCTGTTCCTTCAGTGTCGCTGGGTCAAAATCCTGGAATTCCCACCCTAAAGGTATTGTCTGTCTACCTACAGCGCATGGACTGCAGTGGTTAAAAAAGGCAGCTCACCACAACCTCTTCCCTTTCTTAAGGGAAACCAGGGACAGGCAAGCAGCGACAGTCCCATCCCACAAGTGGATAAACAAAAATGTTGTAGGATAAGAGGAAGAGAACTCTTCTGAGAACTTGGGGCCTTTGACTCCTCTGGTTTTCAAATGGTGTGGAACAACCAGTGGGAGGCTTGATGGAGTGAGATGGGAATGAGAACTGGGGGAAGGGAATTGCTCATCATAATACAGAGGCAATGATAATCTCCAATGCCAAAATTTTTCATAACCCACTGCCCAAAGAAGTTGTTTAGCACTGTTTAGGAAAGTTCTCATTTTACAGTCAAACTTTTTTCGTAGTTACATCCCTGTAATCAAGGCCAAAAGTTCTTCAGTATGCAGTAGTTATTAGTTAGTGTTCTGTAAGTGAGTTGAGAGTTTGGGCTGTGTTTGACACTTTGCAATAAACACATCCCACAAATAGCATCTAAAAATTCAGCTACAACAGTTCAACTTTTCATTGGAAATTGTCTGATTTGTTTCCCATCTTTTAATCTTGCAGTTTACTAGAAATGGAAACTTTACTTGATGCACAAAGACTGGCTGCAGAAGTTGAAAGCACTCTTATTAAATATTACTGCAGCGGTGACAGTGAATGGAGAGTTGGAAAGAAAACAGTAAGTATTTCATGCACTGATCAGTAATAGTTATGTTAACATGTACTATGTCCCAAATAATTTGCTGTCTTTCCATTTTGGAGACTTTTGCTGTTTCAACTTCTTACCAATGTGTTTCATTCTGCATTTACAAGGTTAGTATTTGCCTATGTGCGTGTGTGTGGATGATGGGAACATTTGTACAGTGTGATTTAATTTTCTGACTTTTATCTTTATTTTCCTTTAAGAGGGACTCCATGATGGAACTTACTCTTGCCACTTACAATCATGCTGCAGCTACTGACACTGCCTTATCACAGCCATTCATTGACTTGACAGTAGACCTCATGGTTCCATTCATACCAGTGAAGTGGTGTTTTGTGATTCTCTTTCTAACCAATTTACTAATGTTAGCAAAGATCATTGCCTCAAGATTCAGTTTTGCTGTCAATGGAAGTTATTTATCTGTATACACTGTTTAGAATTTTAAATAGCTGTCAAAGTTAATGTTATGCTTCTCAGTTTGAGAATAAAGTTTTTGTTCGTCTAGCTATTCCTCACAACTGAGTTCCCATTAGAATCATCTTGGTAAATGGGAGTTGCACTTTCACAAAGAATGTTATATTCCTCTTATAATGGGAAATCCCAAATTTCATGCACACTTCAGATATGGCCTTGACAGCAAATTGTATGGTAACCTTTGATCTTTGCCTTTGTATTTAATCCTACTCTTTATATTTAACAAAACCAAATTTACTTTAACTCGTTTTTCAATCTTTAAACACCAGCTGTTTACCTTTCATGTTGCTGTTTGTGGGAATTTGCTGCAATTCCTACATTAACACGTTGATTACACTTCGAAAGTACTTCATCGGGTGTAAAACACTTTGGGATATCTGGTGATTGTGAAAGGGAGATGTAAAAGCACCTCTTTCTACATATTCATATCTATCAGCTCTTTCAATTGCACAGTGCTGTAGGTTGAGGCCATTTTGGTGCTACTCCTCCTTGTTTGAGACCATTAACAACTTTGTCTCAGTTCAGGTTTCTTTTATTTATTCATGTGCACCTTTAGTTTGAATTCTTGGTGTGATGCCCAAAATAAGTTGGAAAACATGACCCTCCTTTGTTTTTCAGTATCGCCTTTTCATTTACAGGTGATGGTTTGGCAATTCTGGAGCATTTTGAAAGCTGCTACCTTATTACAAGCTTTAAATGATAACGAATAATGTATTTTTGATGCTTTATTTCACACTATGACTGATTCGTTTCTTATCTTCATAGAAAGACGTAATTGTTTGGAGGAAACCTTCAGAAAAATTTGGAGGATTTCTGTAAGTATTTTTAAAAATATTGATGGCTAAAATGTAAAACAAAATATAAAGAAAGAGCAAAAAGGGATTTAGTAAGTATTAAATGAGTTTGGCAGACCAAATACAGAGAAATAGCAAGTGCAAGAGATACTTTCATTAACATTGCACCTTTCACAAATTTGGGATTTCCCAAATTTCATTGCAACTAGTGAAATACTTGTGAAACGTAGTAACTATTGTAATTGTGAATAAGGAAATAAAAGGATTCTGAAAAAGAGGTGGGATCATTTAGAGATGATAAAGGGCATCCTGAGATGGAGAAAATGTGAGATGGCTAATGAATATTTTGCATTAGTTTTTACAGATGAAAATGAAATTGGGCCTTTCAAAGAAATGGAAGATCTATTGCCAGAGATAAATATTCAAAGAATTTTTGTTTTAAAATGTACTCTGACTAAACTAGTAAAGCCACCAGATCCTAATGGTAAACATTCTAAAATATTAAAGGAAGTTACAGAGCAGGTAAAGTGAGTGGAAATGGTAGCATTGTAGTTATTTTGTGGAGAAGTGACGCAAGCCTGGACTAATTCTCAGGATCATGACTTTGAATCCCACCATAGCAGATGGAGAACTTAAATTTAATTGATTAAATATGTGTGGAGTAAAAATTAGTGTCCATAGTGGTGACTATAAAACAAAGAGATTGTCCTAAAACTTTGAGATAACAAGGTGTAGAGCTGGATGAACACAGCAGGCCAAGCAGCATCAGAGGAGCAGGAAAGCTGACGTTTCAGGCCCAGACCCTCCTTCAGAAATGGGGGAGGGGAAGGGGGTTCTGAAATAAATAGGGAGAGAGGGGGAGTCGGATAGAAGGTGCGAAGGATAGTGCGAACTAAACAACTGCACCTCCCAGTCGCGAACCATTTCAACTCCCCCTCCCATTCCTCAGATGACATGTCCATCCTGGGCCTCCTGCAGTGCCACAATGATGCCATCCGAAGGTTGCAGGAACAGCAACTCATATTCCGCTTGGGAACCCTGCAGCCCAACGGTATCAATGTGGATATCACAAGCTTCAAAATCTCCCCTCCCCCGACTGCATCCCAAAACCAGCACAGCTCGTACCCGCCTCCCTAACCTGTCCTCCCACCTATCCACCTCAACCCCCACCCCCATCTCCTACCTACTAGCCTCATCCCGCCCCCTTGACCTGTCCGTCCTCCCTGGACTGACCTATCCCCTCCCTAACTCCCCACCTACACTCAACTTTACTGGCTCCATCCACGCCTCTTTGCCCTGTCTGTCTCCTCTCCACCTATCTTCTCCTTTATCCATCTTCTATCCGCCTCCCCCTCTCTCCCTATTTATTTCAGAACCCCCTTCCCCTCCCCCATTTCTGAAGAAGGGTCTGGGCCCGAAACATCAGCTTTCCTGCTCCTCTGATGCTGCTTGGCCAGCTGTGTTCATCCAACTCTACACCTTGTTATCTCAGATTCTCCAGCATCTGCAATTCCTACTATCTCTGTCCTAAAACTTTGTCCGGTTCACTAATGTCCTTCAAGAAAAGAAATCTGTCCTTACCTGGCCCACGTTACCCCAGGCCCATAGCAATATGATTGACTCTTAACTGCCCTATCAAGTGGCCTAGCAATCTAATCAGTCCTATAAAATCAAGATTAAAAAAGTCCAATAAAAGTAAAATAGGATGGAGTATCCAGCATGGACTTGGATGGGTTGTCCCTGATTAGTGTAGCTCCAACAACCCACCAGAAGCTTGACACCATCCAGGACAAAGCAGCCTGCTTGATTGGCACCATAACCATAAATATTTAGTATTCCACCACCAAGAGTTTGTAGCAGCAGTGTGTACCATCTACAAGATGCACTGCGTAAATTTGGCAAAGATCCTTACACAGCACCTTCCAAACCTGTGCCCACTTCCATCTTGAAGGACAAGAGCAGCAAATACATGGGAACACTACCATCACCTGTTTGCTCCCCTTCACACCACATACCATTCTGACTTGGAAATATATCACCATTCCTTCATTGCAACTTTGTCAAAATACTGGAATTCCCTCACTGACAGCATTGTGAGTCTATCCATAGCATATGGCCTGTAGTAGTTCAAGAGGTCAGCTGTCATCAGTTGATTAACTCCACAGGATGTCACGATGCAGCTGAAGGCTGTAGATGCTACAAAGGCAATGGACCCTGACAACATTCTGGCAATTGTACTTGAGACTTGTGCTCAAGACTAGCTGTGCCCCTAGTCAAGCTGTTCCAGCACTGCCATAACGCTGGAATCTATCCACTGTGGAAAATTGCAAAGAACTGCACACAAACTTGCAAAAGACAGTGTAAATTCAACCTGGCCAATTACTGCTCTATCAATCTTTTCTTGATTATCAGCAGAGTGGTGGAAACGGTAGTCAATACTACTATCAAATGGTACTTGCAAGGTAATAAACTGTTCACTGACACTCAGTTTAGGTTCTGCCAGGGTCACTCATTACTGACTTCATGACAGCTTTGAGACAAACATGGACAGAAGAGCTGAACTTCAGAGATGAGGTGAGAGTGATTGCCCTTGACATCAAGGCAGCATTCGACAAAGTGTGGCATCAAGAAGTCCTAGCAAAACTGGAATTGAGGAAAATTATATGGTTGCAATCATACATAGTACAAAGGATGTTGGCTGTGTTTGTTGGAGGTTGATTATTTCAGTCCAAGGACATCACTGCAGGTGTTCCTCAGAGTAGTATCCTAGGCTCAGTCATCTTCACTTGTTTTATCAATAATCTTTCCTCCATCATGAGGTCAAAAATATAATTGAACAACGTTCAGCAACATTCATGACTCCTCAGTTACTGAAGCCATCTGTGTCCATATGCAGTAAACCCGAAAACATCCAGATTTGTACTGACAATTAACATTCATTGCACAAGTGACAGAGTGACCATCTCCAGCAAGAGAGCTTCAAGTTCCGAGGAGTAAATGTCACGAACGATGTATCCTGATCCGTCCATGTCGAAGCTACAATGAAGAAAGCACACCAACAAATCTATTTTGTCAGAAGGCTAACAAAATTCAGCATGCCCACAGTGGCTCTTACTAATTTTTATAGATGCACCATAGAAAGTATCCTATCTGGAAGTACCAGAGCTTGGTATGGCAACTGCTTTGCCAAAAACCACAAAAAATTACATAGAGTTGTGAACTTAGCCCAGTCCATCACGAAAACCAGCCTTCCTTCTACTGACTCCATCTACACTTCCTGCTGCCTCAGGAAAGCAGCCAACATTATCAAAGACTCTTCCCATCCTGGTTACAGTCTGCTCCACCCTCTTCCATCGGGCAGAAGATACAGAAGTTTGAAAACACGTGCCAACAAATTTAAGAGCAGCTGCTTCCCCGCTGTTATCAGACTTAAGAACTGACCCCTCATATATTAGAGTTGATCTTTCTCTGCACCTTCTCTGTAGCTGTGACACCATATTCTGCATTCTGTTCTATTACCCTGAGGTACTTACGTAAGGTATGATTTGTCTGGTTAGCATGCAAAACTATACTTTTCACTGTTATCTTAGTACACGTGACAGTAATGAATCAAATTAGACGGTACACACTACAGACACTGTGCATTGGAGGTCAAGATCGTGAATTTTGAATGTGAAGAATACAGTGTTAATCAAACAAACTGGATGGTGACAAACTTCGAGTGTTTTTGGAGCTGCATACATCCAGAGAAATTGAAAGTGTTCCATCACATTTATGAATTTTGCCTTGTAAATGGATGACAGGCATTGGGGCGATAAGAGGCGAGTTACTTGTTGCAGAATTCCTAGCTTCTGATCTATTCTTGGAGCCTCAGTGCTGACATAGTTGGCTCAGTTCAGTTTATGGTCAATGGTAACCCTTAAGATGCTGATAGTGAGGAATTCAGCAATGATAATGCCAGTGAGCATCAAGGAGTGATGGTTAGATTCTCTCCTCCACCTGAGCACCATTGATACAGAGAGGGGCATATCCTCCATTCTGCTTACTGAACTCGACGACTAGCTCCTTCATTTTGCTGACATTGAGGGAGAGATTGTTGACTTTACACCATTCAACAAAGCTGTCTATTTCTTTTCTGTACTCTGACTCGTTGTTTGAGATCTGACCCGCTACAGTAGTGTCATCAGCAAATTTGTAAATGGAGTTAGAGCTGAATTTGACAACACAGTTGTGAGTGTATAAGGAGTATAGTAAGGGGCTGAGTACGCAGGGGCACTGGTGTTGAGGATTATTGTGGAGGAGAGGAGAGGAGAGGAGGTGTTGTCACCTATCCTTACTGATTGCGATCTGCAGGTCAGGAAGTCGAGGTTCCAGTTGCAGAGGTGGGAGCAGACCCCTAGGTCTCAGAATTTGGAGATGAGTTTTGTTAGATTTATGGTGTTGAAGATGGAGCTAAAGTCAAGAAATAGGAGTCTGACATAGGTGTCCTTATTATCCAGATGTTCCAGGGGTGAATGTAGGGCCAGGGAAATGGTGTCTACAATGGACCTATTGTGACAGCAGGTGAAATGTAGTGGGTCAAGGCAATCTGGGAGGCTGGAGTTGATGTGTACCATTACTACCCTCTCAAAGCACCTCATAATGATGGATGTCAGAGCCACCAGGTGGTAGTCATAAAGGCATGCTGCCTGATTTTTCTTTGGCACTGGGATGATAGTGGTCTTCTTGAAGCAGGTGGGAAACTCATATCGTAGTAAGGAGACGTTAAGATGTCTGCAAATACTCCCATCATCTGGTCCATGCAGAACTCGAGTACCCTGCCGGGGACTCCATCTGAACCAGTCGCTTTCCATGGGTTCACCCTGAAGAAGGCCGATCTGACGTCTGCAGCGGTGACTGTGGGTACAGGTGCACCCGAGGCTGTTGGGGCAGGAGACATCATTTCACTGACCTTCTGTTCTAGATGAGCACAGAATGCATCAAGCTCATCAGGGAGGGAAACATTGTTGTCAGCGATTCTAATCAACTTTGCTTTGTAGCTTGTTATATTGTGTAAGCCTTGCCACAGTCAGTATGTGATCCTGTGGTTAATCTGGGACTCTAGTTTGGACAGTACCAGACCTAGGTGTCTCTGATGGCTTTGCGAAGATCGTACCTTGATGTCCTGTATAGATTAGGATCACCCGACTTAATCACCTCAGACCTGGACCTCAGTCGGGAGTGGATCTTCCGGTTTTTCCATGGTTTCTAGTTGGGGAACACTGGGATTAACTTCTTTGGCAGCAGTCCTCTACACATTTACTGATAAAGTCTGTGATGGTAGTGGCATAGTCACTTGGGTTGGCTGTTGAGTTCTTGAATATAGACCAGTCCACTGACTCCAAGCAGTCAGTGTACCCTGCAGTAATTCACCAGGCTCCTCTGACAAGACATTCCAAACTTGTGACCTCAACCATCCAGAAGGACATGGTCAGCAGATTCAAGGGAACACCACCACTTGCAGGTTACGGTCCAAGCCACACACCATCTTGACATGGAACTACATTACTGCTCCTTCACTGTGTCAATGTCCTGGAACTCCCTCCCTATTCAGTACTGTGGGTATTCGTACACATCAAGAACTGCAGTGTTTTAAGAAGGCACCTTGCCACCACTTTTGTCGGGACATTTAAGGATGTGCAATAAATGCTGGCCTAGCCAGTGAAATCACATCCCATGAATGAATATAAGGAATTGATAGATTTGGAGATGGTGGAAGCTGTGGATTGAGTAAAAATTGATGGAATGTACTGGAAAGGCTGGCTGTTCCTAGAGTGGCTTAGTTGTCTGATCTGGATGGTTTTCATCCCTGGTTGCTAAGGGAAGTAGGTATGGAGAAAATAGAAGCGCCGTTTCATTACCTGAGGAGTTGTGAAAACTATTGAATACTGTAGAGTCATCTTCCAGCCTTCCCAAGGTATAGGTGAGGTATCAGGAAATTGGAAAATAGCAATACCTTTGTTCAAGAATGGCTCTGAAGACATTCTAAATAACCATAGGCCAATCAGTTTAACATCATAGGTGATAAGATAGGTAAGACTTTAGAAACAGCATTCAGTGGTAAAAGTAAAAAGAATCAATGGGAATTTGATGAGGTATGGGTTGAAACCACATTGCAGAGGAGCAACCTGTGAGCTTCAAAATAACATGAAAGGAGATTGAGAGCTTTAAAACGATGCTAGAGAACAATGGACTGAGTGCTTAAAATCTGCATGAGAGGGCAGTGATCTCTGAGCTTCAAAGACAGTGAGAGGGGAATGGTCCAAGAGATTCAAAACAGAATGAGACGGGAATGGTCCAAGAGATTCAAAACGGAACAAGAGGGGGTGATCAAGAGATTCAAAGCAGCATGAGAAGGGAGAGGTTTCGAAACTGGGGTTGGGGCTCAGACAATGAGTTGACCACATTCAAAGAAGTAAATGAAGTGATGTCTCGGGAACACAAATAAATAACTGGTGGTGACTGTTTTGCCTATTTATCTATTTAAAAAATTTTGGTTAATTTATCTGATATTGTGAAGTCTTATGAAGTTTTAGTGCAGTTTACAGTGAGTAATAAGCTTATTGGGAGTTGTAGGCTTTATTGTAAATTAACTAAGTCAGAAATAAAGTAATTATCACAAAATAAAGATGGCAGGGGGTGGGGAAGTATGAAAGATGTGGATGCTGGTATAATCCATTGCAATTATGTATCTGTTTGTGGCTGCAGTTAAGTTGAGCTTAGTGCATGAACTGGAGGCCAAGCTGCAAACAGTAGGACATATCAGGGAGGAGGAAAGTTATCTCAGTGTTAGAGGATGGTGTCTTCTGACTTGGTTAGTGATCAGGGATTGGGGAATGTGGATACAGCTGAGGCAGATAAGAGGACACAGTGTGCAGGAGCCTCAACCTCTATAATTGTCCATCAGGCTTGAGGTTCTTTTAGCTTGTCTGGATGAGAGTGGTAGCTGCACATGAGTAAGCTAACTGACCATGGCACTGTGATTCAGGAAGCCAGTCAAGTGGGGACAGCAAAGAAAAGTAGTGTTGGTAGTGAACATTATAGTGAGAGAAATTTGTACTGTTTTCTGATGCAAAAGAGCCAGAGTCCAAATGGCTGTCAAGCTTGTTGGTTTGGGACATGTGCCTGGACTGGAAAGGAACTGACATTGGGAGGGGAGGATCCTGGTCCACATAGGTTTCAATGACAGAGGCAGAAGAAAGGATGCTCTGCATAGTCAGTATGAGTCACAAAATTAAGAAGCAGAACCTCAAGGGTAACAATCTCTGGATTATTATCTGAGCTACATGAAAATTGGTATTGGATAAATAAGATAAGAGAAATGAATTCATGGCTCAATGGTTAAAAATGATGAGAGAGAAGAAGTTTCCAGTCTGTGGGCTACTGATACCAGTACAGGAGCAAATAGGGGCTATACCATTGAGACAGGCTGCACCTACAGTCTACACTGGAACCGTGTTGACTAGTATTCCAAGAATACATAGAACTAGGGAGGTAGACAAGATTTTAAATTAAATCGTGGGGTCAGGGGATCAAATCTGGACAGATGTTTTAACAAGAAGTGACCTTGCAAAATAGAAAGTTATTAATATGGGAAATTATAAGAGAGAATAACGAAAGAGATCTAAGAGTAAATCAGCCAATAAGATTAGAAATTACAAAAGTAACAAACGGGCAAAATTGAAGGCTCTGTACCTGAATTCCCATAGCATTGAAAGCAATTTGGCCAATAAAATAGGATTAATTATTGACCTCACAGTGAAAACACCCCTGGGTAGTAGCAACCATATAATTGAATTTTACATACAGTTTAAATGTGGGTCCAAGACTAATATTCTGAATTTAAACAATGGCAATTATGAGGACATGAAAGCAGAGCTTGTGAAAGTGGACTGTCAATTTAAGAGACAGGTCAAAGAAATGCAGTGGCAAACACTTAAGGGGATATTCCAGAAAGAACAGAATAGATCCATTCATTCCTACAAATAATAAGAGTTCAAAGGAATGGATCTCCCATCTGTGGTTAACTAAAAAAAGTCAGTGATAGTATCAAACTCAAAGCAACATATAATTATGCAAAGAAAGGTGGCAGATAACACAGAATATAAAAACAGCAGACAATTACAAGAAGATGAAGGAGATAAAATTTAAAGTACGAGAGAATGTTAGCCAAAAATATAAAATCGGGTAAAAATAATTTCTTCAGATACTTAAGAAAAAAAATAGTCCCATAGAAAATGAATCTGTGGAATTACTAATGGAAGGTGAAGAGATGGCAAGCAAATTGATCAGATAGTTTGTGTCAGTTTTCACTAGACAGGATTCAAATAGCATCCCAGAAATAGCTGTACTATTGTTGTTTTAAATCTGAGATGGATAAATTTTTGTTAAGCAAAAGTATTAAAGGAAATGGGCCAAAGACAGGTTATGAAGTGAAACTACAGATCAACCTTGATCTTATTGAATGGTGGAACAGTCTTGAGGGACTGAATGGTCTACTCCTCTTCCTAGATGAATTTTTGATAACCAAGGGAATGAAAGATTATCACGGGTTTACAGGAATGTAGAGTTGAGGTTAAAATCAGATTAGCCATGATCTTACTGAATGGCAGAGCAGGCTCGAAGAGCCAAGTGGCCTATTCTTGTTCCTTGTTTGCATATTCGCTTGTGCAAATAGAAATAAGCATGAGCTGACAGCCATTCCAGAAACATGGCTGCAGGATGACATAGATCAATACTCTCATCTGATGGGGATTCAGGGATGCAAGGTGCAAAATCAGCTTCAGGTAAAACTAGTTGGAAATTACCATTCACACATTAATTGCTTAGCTTCACTAAAGTCCTATAAAAGTCACCTCCCCTTAGAGGACAGTTGGGCAAATATTCTAGTGTTTGTTGCACAGGACATCCAAAGCTTTGGATACACATCCAGAAAGTATCCTGTATTTGATTTACACATTTTCAGAGGTAGTTTGTTATGGATCACAAGAGATTTATTACTAAAAGTAAGGAACATGTTATTAAAGGGAATTAAGCTGAGTGGTTAGATAGCTTTTGGCTTTCAGAACAAAAGGGAAATGGAGTAATAAGTGGAATATTTTCAGGTCTACAGGATGTGTGATTGGTCCTGGGACCTCTTGTTTTTAATTTATACCAGTGATTTGAGCATCGGTATAAAATCAGTAAAATCAAAGTTTAACATTAATTTAGGAGGGGTCATAGTAAACTACGAGGAAAAATGCAGGAGATTACATGAGGTAGAAGTTTATGAGGAGATAAGAATAATTATGCTGGTTTAAAACATAATTCCTGTGGGAATAAGCATCATAATCCTTCCTTTTTGAGAAAGATTTGCATTTTCATATAAAAGAACATATGCATAGCTTCTAACAAGACAATTGAATTTAAATTCCAGGTACAAAACTCAAGGGATTGTAAAGGAGCTTCCAAATAGGATAGTGGATTACATTCGCCCTGGCCCATATAGGTTACTTTGGGACAGTCTAATGACCTCGTTGGACATTATTGGTGAATTTGAACAGGTAAGATGATTCACAGAATAGTGACAAACATTCCTGTATTTTTTAACCCATTTGCCTTCTGAATTTCTTACAAGATATTCCTCTGAAATCCTGCACAAAGTGGAAGTCACAACTTGTTATTAGATTTTCCTGTTCTTTTTGTTGTAAACAGTCCAGGTTTCATATATTCTTTCTTTCTCCCCCATGTTTTTGTTTAAAGTTGTTAGCTTTTCAGGTACATTTTCCTAACTTGAGGACAGGCTGTTCTCCTAATAAATGAAATTGCAGTTTAATTTAATAGACATTTTCAGGATACAGATAGAGGAGCTTTATCTCTGAGTAGAAGTCAGTTATCATGCAGTTAACAAGATTTTGTCCTTCAGTTCATTATTAATGGATTGCTAATTCATAAGCTAAAAGTTGCTTGACTGCATCTGCAAGATCTTACAACTCATTGGGTTAGTGTGTGAGAAATCCAGCCCTGCTTTCCCCATAGTCATCACCAAAAGTTAAAAATTTTATAAAATATGTGAAATTCCCCGAGTTACCTGACTTTCAGAACCAACTGATAAAAAGCGTGGACCAGGTAAACCCACCAGGTCAACCGACCAGGTTTTTGAAATTTCCTTTAAATCTATCAGTGGTGTCTCTGCCACTTCATTTGCTATTTCCAGTGCCATTTGTTAAATGCAGTACAGAACCTCATGTTTTCCTTCACCCGTATTCCAATCTAATCCAACCCTGACCAAGAGCTGTAACAAACACTGTTATGCCTCACTGAAATTTAGCACTGAAAACTGAGCCCTAATGGTCTTGGAGTGGTCAACAAAAGTTAAAAGTTTTAAACTGGATGTAATATTTCACAATTTACCTGGATCCTGGAACTCCCTTCCTGACAAGATTGTGGGTCCATCTACACCAAATGTGCTTCAAGAAGGCAGCTCACCATCAATTTCTCAAGGGCATTTAGGGATGAGCAATGAATGTTGAGCCAATCAGCGGTGCACACATCCTCTGATGAATGAAAAAACAGCTTCCACCACAAGTGTGTACTGACGTGGAAGTTCAGACTGAAATTTTAAAAGCCATAATGGCTATGGATTACATTCTACTCAAGAGCTTGCAGAAAATCACAGCAAATCAACAATCTGTTCTCCTAACAAATAACTGGGATTATTGTAGCACTGTTTAGGGTAGTGGCAGTGGCTTCACAGAACATAAACCTGTTATCCTGTCTCAATGGACAGCATTTGACCTCCCAATCTGCCACTGCCTTTGCTATTTCTGTCAGCTAGTGCCAGGGAGAGAAATAATAGATCCTGATGCATCTCCTTTTTGCAGGTCTTTTATTTGTCCCCCTTTTATTGTCAGTCTCAATCATGCTTGTTGAGCTGCAAGGTTAAAAGAGGTGCTGTTTGAAGCCTTTTGCTTCAGAATAGCAGTGTTGGTGTTAGAACAATGTTGTTCAGTGACTGATGTTATGGTCTGCCTACTTCGCTTATTTCCAGGAAACATTACATGTATGTCACTAAGTTTTATCAACATGGTACCTGCAACACTTTGCATTGGAAGTGTGTGCATGAGCTGTGAACTCAATTTTGGATTTTTAAAGAAACCTGTAATACCCAAAAAAAGTCCAATCTCGTCCTCAGCATCCAGTCCTTCCTGTTTGTGAATTTTGCCAAATGCAAATTTGGTGTCAGAGTTTCCTGTTACATTGACTACAAAAGCTGAAATGTACTTTTGTGAAATTATGAAGGGCATTCTACAAACGCATGATTTTTTCTGTTTAAAATATTAATAATACATAGTTGGACATGAAAGTAAGATATGTGTCTAACAGGTAATATAAATTCAGCATCATCTTCAAATCTGGTCACATCCACAAACTGAAAACAAGCCATATGTAAGAAAAAAATGCCACTTTAACTCTGAACTTTTACTCATAATTGTTCAGATTATCTATATTGCTTCCTACAATTAGTGTCTTGTAGCACTGCCAAGAATTGGTTTATCTCATTCTTATGAACTGCTTTACCCTGTCTTGCCTGCTGCATTTTTGTTTCTGTCAAGTGCCTCATGGGTCCCGTAATTCTGTAATAGTCCAGTGCTTCTACAGGAGGTGAGAGCGTAACTTTGGTCAGACTACATTACCCAGAGTGCCGGAATAATTGATTAGGTGGAGTTACATTCTTGCAGTAAGTCAATAAGATCTTGTATGCTGGAACTATGTCCTAGAGTAGAGCAGGCAGTGGGTGTTCCTAATTCAGAGGAGTCATTGTAATGATGTGCTTCCACACAATCCGTGAGGCAGCAACTTGAAATGGAGAGAGGCAGTGCTTACAGTAAAAGCAAAGATTGAAGCTGCAAGTTGAGTCAAAGCTTCTTGAAGGCATGTGACCTAGTATTTTGAATTTGTGAAACTCTGTCTCCTCAGAACTGCTTCTCCACCTGAGGTGCTGCAGAATGCAGCTAGGATTTCAGACTTAGAGCTGCTCAAGGTTGCTCTCCACTTCAACTCATAAACCTTCTACCACCTACAACACTGTGATAAAATTGCACAGCAGCATGAGGGCAGGCAAAGGCACAAAGGGACTGCGCAGAAGTAACCAGTTTAATGTTTGTATGTAATGTGGAATATTTTAATTTCTGAATTTGGTTAGGAATTGTTGTCATGGTGGCTTTTATTTTTGCATTGTAGTCAATTGGATGTTATGATAGGTTGTGGGACTATTGGTACAGGGTAATTGGAGAACTGCTGTTACCTGGTCACCTGGTTAGCCCTGCCTAGTAAAATCAAGGGGTTAGTTAAGTTGCCTCCTGTATTCTTTTTCCTTTTCCTCTTCCTCGTATACCTGCTTCTGAGGTACTTGTCATACAGCTGGTGGCAAGGGCTGGTCCCTCATGGCCAGGTTATGCAGTGTGCAGCAGATGAGAATGAATTTTGACATTCATTCTGTCAGTGATTGCAGAGCTCCTCTTGAGTAATTCAAGCAGCAAAAGCATTGTTTCATCATGCCATTGATCTGCTCTGTCATATTTCATGTACATGCTGCATGGGTTGCAGACTGCCTGTCATCAGGCTTGAGGTCAGTGGATTAATCCACATTGCTCAGTAGTAACTCTGTGGTTTGAATGATATCTCAAATGCCCCTGGTGCAGTGTACTATCACAGTATGAAGCCTCTTTGACTGCTGCCGGCATACTGAACATTGAACTGGGTGGATATGGTGTCCTGGTTAGATCACTCTTCTCCTCATTCATCTTTCAGAAACTTGTCCTGTTGTTTGTGGCTTGTGTTATTCTCCAAAACATGCTGCATTTCGAGTGGAATGCCTACTACTTCACACATCTCTAGGGCTACTTGTTTATGTAGAAGCCTTAAAGTCAGTAATAAAAGCTTGAGCATCTGTCATAGCACTTCCTGAAGACATTGGCAACACAGAAAACACTGAACGCTTGTAGAATTAAAGCAATTGCCATAAGTAATCAGCCAACAATTAACTGTTGATGATCTTTTTAAGTATTGTTGATTGGAAGTGAACTTTCCTTTGGCTTCAGTTGAGCAAGTTAAGAGAGAGTGTTGGCTCGAGTTTTGAGCTCTGAGATGGCACTGCTGACCTCATTTAATGTTGCACACTGAATCAAGAGTGAATACCTTGTCACCACTGTAGCATTTTGACCAAGTACACCAGTAGGCTTTGGACTAATAAGTAGCAAGTGACAATTGTGCCACACTTGTGCCAACCTCTGACCATCGCCAGCAAAAATCAAAGCACTTCCAATTACATTCTGTGGAATTATATTTTCAAATTCCTCACTATGCTTATCTAGGTGGAGTCCCTATTGACTAGAAATTCAATGAGACCTACACATAGATACTATGGATATGAAAGCAGGTCAGAGGCTGGGTAGTCTACAACAGAAAGGTCACCTTCGGACTTCACAGTACTGTTTCACCATCAATAAAGCATATGTCAGGATTGTGATGGAATACTTGCCATTTACCATGAAATTCAGTTCATTCTGGATAACTAATCCACCACTATAAAATACTCCTTTATCATTAGTGCACAGTAGCTCTCAGGCATACCAGCTACAAGATGCATTGCAGCAACTGCAAGGCTTCTTCTATCTCATCTCGCAAATCTTTAATCTCCTCCACCTAGGAGGAGAAAGGACACATGGGAGCACCACTACCTCCAGATCTTCCACCAAAATATGCTTTGCTGAGGCATTTATCACCATTTCTTTATCATTATTGGGTCAAATTCCTGGAAATTCCTCCTAAAGAGAACTGTGGGGAGCGTGTTTATCTCATAGACTTATACAGTTCAGGTTGCTATCTGTCAATAAAAGCAAAGGATGGGCAATAAATGTTGATTTCGCCTGCATGTCAAGCCTGAATTCTTTAAAAATATGTTCTACAATGGCCTATCAACGTGCATTATTCTTAATTTTCTGGCCAGTTTCCTGCACTGAATGAACTTGATCTTGCCCAACGTTTTCCAGAAAATGTCCGAATTTGCAGCAAGTCCTGATCACTCATCACCATTGTACTGTTAAATCAGTAATGTTATCATAGTGATTGTAACGAGTCAGCCACGTGGACCTCATAGAATATGAGTTCCCTGATTGGGGCAGTTAATCTAGTCCAATCAGAGAGCCTTGGCTGACAGATAAGAACAGGAGTGTGAGACATCCTGTTCACCATGAGAGTTTGGCTCTGACAGAGCTGGATCATTGTCAAGGACTCTTCACATGTAAATAAAGGGTGACTTGGTGACAGGATACCGGCCTTTATAGAGTTATTTCAGTAGCGATGAGAGAAAAGCACGCTCCTGAAGAAATTTGCTCGCAACAGTCGTCTTTGAGTTGGGGTCACCATATCTGGCATCGTGCCATTATTTGGGAAGCTTGACTCATTCAATCCTGCCATAGAAGACTGTGGAAAGAATGCATTATTTTTTCCAGGCAAATGACATTGGGGCAGATGAAAAGTAATGAGTAATTCTCCTGAC